CTTACATGTTGCAATATATAAAATTTTGTTCAGCTACTTAATAATTTGCCCTTGTGTTATGATGTTTATTCACGGTTCAAAATAATTTGAACATACTTTTGTGGGCTAATTTTTGTTACTAAGTCAGTATTTCTCAGCTTTCTATTCAAGTGTCCTGTAATTGGCAGAGGAAAGCCCAGAACAAGCAGGAAATGTCTTTGAAGCTTCCTGTTTTGCCTTTAAAACTCTCATTTAAAAATTTTTTTTGGCAGCTGGCTGGTACCGGTATCCAAACCCTTGACTTTTGTCTTACAACACTGTGTTCTAACCAACTGAGCTAACCAGAAAAACTCTTTTAAATTGTACTTCAAAATATATTTTATATGGTATGTTGACATCAGGAGGATGTGCAGTGTTTATCTGTAGCTTCAAGATTCCCTGACATGCAGTTGTCAATCCCTGGTTACATATACCCCCATTTGAGAAGTATGGAAGTAGATCCTACAGAACATTTTTATTATTCATTTTATAACATTTAAAATTTATGTAGGCTACAATCAAATTTTGGTTTTAATATGCAATTTTTAGATGAACTGAATGTGTTTATTATAAATAATGAGTTTATTGTACAGCTTTAAGTACAGTTGATCCAATATGGCTATGGGGGAGTAACTTTTATTTTTTTTTTTTGGAGGATGGCCAGTATGGGGAGTTGCTTTTATGGTACATGCTATTAAATGAAATCTCATAGATTTTTTCCCCTAAAATATAAGATAATTTATTTCATTTTACCAGTGTTTCCCAAAGCTCTGTGATTCAAAGCTTTCCTAATTGTTTCTCAAATTTCCTAGGTCCTCTTGGTAATTAATATTTAGTTTGAAACTGTTTAGCTATTTTCACTTTTACAAATGAACTGAAGTTTGCTTTGTTTTGTGTTCTTTTGTAGTTTGTAAAGACTATCTTGTCCCAAGGGCATCTGACTCCTCTACCTCTTTATGTGTGCCCAGTGTACTGGGCATATGACTATGCTTTGCGAGTATATCCTGTGCCAGATCTACTTGTCATTGCAGACAAATATGATCCTTTCACTGTGACCAATACCGAATGCCTCTGCATAAACCCCGTAAGAACGTAGTTAATCTTATATTGTCATTATTTGCCATGATTAGATGCATTTCTTTACATTTAAAATCTAATTTTAATTGGGGAGAGGGGCAGGAAAGATTTCTTGAACATGACATTTGAGTGTCTCATATGCATATTTAGCATTACACAGTACTATTTCTTATACTAAGTAGAACCACTCCTGAGTGTTTCCAGTCACATCTGTTAGCATAAGACTGTCTAGCCAACTTGAAAGACTTTTGCTTCAAGTGGGTATTTTATAGTAACATCTCTCTATAGATTATGTAAAAATCTGTATTATTTTATAGTAATAGTCATATCTTGTAATTTGATTTTAAAAATATGGATTATTTTATAAAAGGTGAGTATTCACTTATAGGCATTTTTCTTTCCAAAAGGGCTCTTTTCCAAGAAGTGGATTTTCATTCAAAGTTTTTTATCCTTCTAATAAGACAGTAGAAGATAGGTAAGTGTGCCCACAGAAACAGCAAGGGGATTTCTCTTGGGGTTTGATTGCTAAAAATCACATGTTCTGTAGTTGTCCTGAGATTTTAAAAAATGCTGTAGTGACCCATTGGAAATGTTCTAGGCTGAACTAATTGTGGTCATGTTATATGACACAAAATTGTATGTTCTTGATGGTATGTTTGTGTTGAAATTGGTTAAGAACTGTTTTCTGAGGGAAATCTCAGACCAGCTGTGGAGATGGGCTAGTTACAGGCTGACTCCTGATGATGCTCTTTTTCTGAGAGGTCAGCCCTGCCTGTCCTCCACATGGTTGATTCTAAAAGCCTAGGTAATCTGCCTTAAATTAGCAGCAAAGTAGTAATGAGGAGCTGGGTTTGAGTGTGGTGATGGTGAGGGGTTGGGGTTGCAGGGAGATCTTAGGAAAGAAAGAATAATCACCTGGTGGGTAGTGGTTTTCACAGGGTGACCTATATTGCCTTAGATTCTTCTGGGGTCCTTGTTAAAAATGTTAAGGTCTAGGATCTCTCCCCAGACTCATCAAATAGCTCTCTAGTTGTATAGCCCACGAATATGCATTTTAAAAACTGTTTCCCTTGGATTTGGGCATACTAACACGATTTCTCAGGTAACTATACTTTGAAAAAGCTCCCACTTCTGATTAAGAACAAGTGACCAAGTAATACACTCCAGGTTGTTGTCAGAGAATATAATATTGAACACACAGCCCAACTTTTTTTTTTGTAATTAACATTTATTTAAATAAAAACAAATACAAGTATGTAACAAAAATTTCAAACAATGCTTAAAAGTATAAAATTGAAAAGGAAAAATACTTTCGCTGCCAGCCCTGAAACTATGATTAAGTTTCTATTTCTTTTTTTTTTTTTTTTTGGCGGCTGACAGTTATGGAGATCTGAACCCTTGACCTTAGTGTTATAACACCTCATTCTTACCAACTGAGCTAACCAGCCAGCCCAACAGTTTCTTAAATTTCTTGAAAAAAAATTTATGCATATATTCTTGCTGTTCAGTACTTACGGAGGAGTGAAGTTCATTCATTCTGCGAGATATTCTAAATTTTGTTCTTTGATTCACTCATTTGACATTTGATTCTTACTGTATTCCAGGCACTGGTTAGTTCTTGGAATATTGGCAAACAGACACTCTCATAAAAGTTGCAGATATTCTAGTCTCTAGTTCCATAAGCCTCACATGTTTGACTTGGAATGATAAAAAAAAAATTGGAATGCCTTAGGTAAGGACACTCGCTCTTCAGCCTTACCACTCTGTTGTCTACACCTGGATACCTCTGAGGGCATTTCATTTGTGACCCCAGGACTAAGTCAGCTCTGAGAGCTGTCAGCCTGGAGCATACTGTCCTGTCCACATTTTGATTGACTTTTACTGAACTGAGATTTGATATAAAACTTACAGACATATAAAACTTGAAGAAGAAAAACAAAAAACCCAAAATTTGGTCTACTATGAAAGGGAACTTTCAACAGATTTCAGTACAAGAGAAATTTGTCTGTCTCAAGCAACTGTTTTTATCTTAGGAAGACTGTTAATCTAATAGACTGACTGACTTTGTTTTAACTGTTAGGAAGCTCAGCCAAATTTGCAGCCCACCTCTATAGCAGTACGTGACTTAACTAGCGTAAATGTTGGGTGATAATCTTAGCTATGGCTTCATCTTTTCTGATTTGTATTTCCCCCTTACCTGAATTTCCTCAATTTCATACTTTTATCTTTTTATTACATCTGTCTCTGCAAACCACTTTTTATTCTTTTTAAAAATGAGTTGAGGCTGGCTAGTTAGCTCAGTTTGTTAGAGCATGGTCCTGATAACACAAAGGTCCAGGGTTCGATCTCTGTACCAGCCAGCTGTCCCCCGACCTCACACAAAAAAAGAGTTGGGATATAATAAACCACAATAGGAAATTAGCCGATTTTTTTTTTTTTTTGTGGCTGGCTGATATGGGGATCTGAACCCTTGACCTTGGTGTTATAACACCATGCTCTAACCAGCTGAGCTAACTGGCCAGCCCAACTGATTATTATGATAGCATTTGATACTTCAGCTACATTTCTTATAATGTTCCCCAAATGCCATGCAGAGCTGTTTTGTGTTCTGTGCACTCTATGCATATACAAACTTTTTTTTTTTTTTAAAGATGACCGGTAAGGGGATCTTAACCCTTGATTTGGTGTTGTCAGCACCACGCTCTCCCAAATGAGCTAACCGGCTATCCCAGGATAGGGATCTGAACCTGTGGCCTCGGTGTTATCAGCACCACATTCTCCCGAGTGAGCCACAGGCCGGGCCTGCATATACAGACTTCTATTACAGTTCCTAGTATACTGTATTAGAAGTCACTTGTATGCCTGTCCTCAATAGTTTTAGCATAGAGTCTAGCATAGCACTTGACTTGAAACTTTTTGTTAGAGTATTTATGAAATCACATTGTGGAGTTAATCACAGAAATGTAGTCAAAATAGTTAAAGTTAACCCTGTTTCAACATGTAATTTCAAGTAGTTTTTATTTGAAAACACAATATTGGTGAGATAGTGGGGAAATACACATTTTCGTACATAGTTGGTCAGAATGAAAAGTGGTAAAAACCTTTACTGAGGCCAATTTGACAAGATTTATTAAGACCTAAAATGCATATACCAGCAATTCCATTTCTAGGAATTTATCCTACAGGTATGCTTGGGCTGATGTATAAAGTAGGTATAGTTGTTTTTATTGTAATTGCTACAATATCAAAAAATAAGAAACAGTTTAAATGTATATCTATATGTGTATACTTATTCAGAACTTTTCTTATTTAAATTTCAAAGCCATAAAGGAATTAGTTGAATAAATTATAAATATATTTACTACTAATTGAAAAAAGGAAAGTGTAGAATAGTATGCATAATTATTGTACCGCTGGTATATGTGTTTTTAAAGTATAAACCCATATATACACATGCTTATATATGATTAGAGGTTTTTTTTTTTTCTTTTTTAATTAGACTATATAAGGATATGCAGTTGCTTTTGGAGAGCAGAAATGGGGTGTGAGACTGACTTTTTAAGTGTACCCTTTTGTATTTGGAACAATGTACATGTACTGACTTATTTTAAAATTAATGAACAACTAATTATTAAGAAATGTACAATAACAGGTTTCCAAAATGTTTAGTTTTACAAATTTTTTCTATTTTCAGCAAACTTCAAGGCTTTTGAGATTCGTAAAGACTATCTAAAGAAACAAAATTCATCAGTTTTCAGCTTAATTTTATATTTTATGTAATTTTGATATTAAGTTACAATAAAATTACGGTAAACTTTATAATATTCTGCTTCAGTTTCTAGTTTATGAAATTGGCAGAAGGTCAAAGTGGGGGGAGAGAGAGGGAAAAAGGAGAGAAACAAAAGGGGGTTGAACTTGTCCTTCTCCCCTGACCTTCTCCCTCCAAAAGGCATTCACATTTTTTAAGGATCAGCCTTTCCTCAGTGGATGAATTTTAGGCAAGAGATAATTTGTTTTGAAGAAGGGGGCTTTTTCAAAACTCCACATTGCCTTTTTCCACAGAGCTTCTCCTGGGAAAGGGAACGTCACATAGTAAATAATTTGGCAAGGTAGAGGGCATGAACCCTCCTTAGCAAATCTAATGAAAGCTGCAAGCCCTCTCCTCAGAAAAAACCGCACATATGAGCCTGCCCCCATACATAATGTCACATATAATTTCACAGGGTGCAGGAGCTCTGAAGGCCATTATCATTTCAAAACAGCCAGTTGAGGGTTGTTGCATTTGAGTAGTATGGTGTGTTCATGTTTGGAAATGCCTTTTGTAAGGTCGAACTTAGCCAGAATTTTGAAGTTACTAAGGTGACTTAAGTTAACGAATCCTTGGGAATGCTCCCTGACATCAGGGTTATAATAGAAAAGTGCAATTTTATACATCTGTTACATGCTTTAAAGACCTAGAACTCATCTTTGTGCCTCAAAGCTATTTCAGAGGAAAGCTTTAAAACTTATGACAGGGCATTTAAAAACTTTTTCTTAAACAAATTCACAGTAGAAAAATTAGAAAATAAAAGTAAGTATAAAGAGAAAAGTTCTAATGACCTGCAATTTTACCATCAGAGAAAAACTTTTAATATTTTGATATATCCTTCCAGATTTTTCTCTATGCATAGTTTTTCCTATAAAAATATTTTGGGATTGAACTATATATATTAAACTTGCTTTTTTCCTTTACTGTACTATATTCATTCATTAAGTATTTCAGTGCCTAATATGTTCCCGGTACTGTGGAATCCAGTGGTAAACCAGAAAGGCAGGGTCCTAGATTTCATGATGCTTACCTGCAAATAGGGACAGCCATATCCTAAAACAAAAAAATACCAAATATGAACCATGGTCAAGATAAAAACGACGTGGGCAACTTTAAGTGGGGTTTTGGAGGTAGGAGAAGCATGTCACAGGGAGTCCCTAAGGTGATATTTAAGTTCTTGAAATTCAAGGGCCCGTGCCCAGGCTGTATAGGAACCAAGAGTGTTCTGCCATGAGGCCAACTGGGGGGAGAAAATTAGATGGTAAACATGGAGAGGGTTAGGGATCAAGTGTACAGAACTTGGATGTAAAGCTACTGTAAAGTTTGCAGCAGACGGTGATATCAATTGGTTTGGTTTTAAAGATCACAAAGGCAACTGTGTGAACAGACTGTAAGAAAGGAAGAACTGAAGAGACCAGTCAGGAAGCTTTTGCAGAGATCTGAAATGAAGATGATGGTGGCTCAGACCAGAAATGCAGGTGTCTACCTTTGTTCAACTTCTAAGAGGAAATGCCCCAACTGGGACCCACTCTTTTTCCACATACACTCTCTCCTTCACAAATATATTTATACTCAAAAATACCAAACATATTTCAGGTTATAAACTTCTTAGATTTTTGAATCCCAGCTTGTGAATACACTGGCTGTGTGACCCTGGTCAGGTAACTTCTCAGGTTCCATCTTCTTGTCTGTGAAACGGGGATGAGGTTTATCTTAAACTGTTATGAACAGCGATTGAGATAACATACATAATGCTGGAAATGATGACAGTTATTACGATAGTCTGAAGAAACTGCACCGTGGCACAAGAATCTAAAAAACGCAGAAAGGGTGGTTGGCTGGTTTGAAGAAAGGAAAAGGCTATTGCTGGCATTTTCACTATCCCATTGATTCCCGCCCCTCCTCCCGGGTGTTGTGTCACTATGGCAACAAGCACGCGCTGCGCTGCCCAGTTATCGATCCTCTAGCCGTTACTGACCTCGACCGCCTCACTCTCCGCTGACCAGAGACTCCCGGGCGTATCTCATTCACCGTGTTTCGGATTGCTCCCCCTTGGCCCGAGGGCGAGGAGCCACGGGGCAGCATGGCCAAAGCGGCAGGCCCCTCGCCGCTAGAGGACTTGGATCTGAGCGGAGAGGAGGTCCAGCGGCTCACCTCCGCCTTCCAGGATCCGGAGTTCCGGCGAATGTTCTCCGAGTACGCCGAGGAGCTCACCGACCCGGAGAACCGGCGGCGCTACGAGGCGGAGATCACCGCGCTGGAGCGTGAGCGCGGAGTGGAGGTGCGGTTCGTGCACCCGGAGCCGGGTCATGTGCTGCGCACCAGCCTAGACGGGTCGCGGCGCTGCTTCGTGAACGTGTGCAGCAACGCGCTGGTGGGCGCGCCCAGCAGCCGGCCTGGCTCCGGGGCCGAGGCGCCCGGCAGCCACTGGTCTCTGCCCTACAGCCTGGCGCCCGGCCGCGAGTACGCGGGGCGCAGCGGCACCCGCTACATGGTCTACGACGTGGTCTTCCACCCAGATGCGCTCGTGCTGGCCCGGCGCCACGAGCACTTCCGCCACATGCTGGACGCCACGGCCCTAGAGGCGGTCGAGAAGCAGTTCAGCGTGAAGCTGGATCGCAGGAATGCAAAAACCCTGAAGATCAAGTACAAGGGGACCCCGGAGGCCGCCGTGCTGCGCACGCCCCTGCCCGGGGGCGTCCCGTCCCGTCCCGAGGGGGAGCCGGCGGGCCCTCTCCCGGATTTCCCCTACCCCTACCGGTACCCGGCAGCCGCCGGGAACTCTGCGGCCCCCCGGCCGCAGGCGCCCTCCCCTCCCGAGGTGGCCTTGCAGCCCGCCCCCACCGAGCCGCGCTACCGCGTAGTGCAGCGCCACCACGTGGACCTCCAGGATTACCGCTGCTCCCGGGACTCGGCCCCGAGCCCCGTGCCCCACGAGCTGGTGGTTACCATAGAGCTGCCGCTGCTGCGCTCGGCCGAGCAGGCGGCGCTGGAGGGGACGGGAAAGCTGCTGCGCCTTGACTCGAGGAAACCCGACTACCGGCTGCGTCTCTCGCTCCCGTATCCGGTGGACGACAGCCGCGGTAAGGCTCAATTCAACAAGGCCCGGAGGCAGCTGGTAGTCACGCTACCCGTCGCGCTGCCAGCCGCGCGCCGGGAGCTCGCCGCGGTCCAGGAAGAGGCGGTGGGCCGGCTCGGAACTGACGGCGCAGCCTGCGCTTCCGCTCGCGACGGGGTGGCGGGACTGGCTGGGGATCGCGCCAGGGACGGAGACCGCGATCCCAGCCGAGCTGGGGTTACAGACGCCAGGATCACCACCCTGGGAGCCCCCGAGGTGGCGCCTCCGCCGGCCGGCGCTGGGGAAGATCTTACCTCAGACCTGGGGGAGCAGAACTTAAGCAGGCACGCGGTGTCGCCCCCGGGCGTCGGGGAGGAGCCGTCTCCCGGAGCAGGGAGCTTCCCTGGGGACGGCCGTAGAGACCCTCCTTGTACTGCATCCCAGGGCCTTGACTGCGAGTCTTCGGCCGGAGGAGGGGGTGCGCGCGGAGATCTCAGCGTGGAGACGGTTGTGGACCGGGAGGACACAGGCAGCGGGCCCTCTGACCGAGCCATGGATGGTCTCGGGACCGAGAACGGGGAACCTTTGTGTCCTCCTTTGCAGTGTACTCAGGATGAAGAATCCTTGACTCTGTTGATTCAAGTGCCTCGGATCCAGCCGCAAAGTCTTCAAGGGGATTTGAGCCCCCTCCGGTACAAATTGCGTTTCTCCACAGAAGACTTACCTTATTCCTTCGTTTTGCAATTTGTCCCAGAGAATAAATTGAGTACCAAAGAACCCGTGATTAGCATTTCTTCAGACAATGCAGTGATAGAACTGGCCAAATCTCCAGGGAGCCATGGACATTGGAGAGAGTGGTATTATGGTTTAAACAACGATTCTTTGGAGGTAACAGTTCTTTGTAGAGTCTTAATATTTGAAATATTCCATCTCAGTTTTAAAATTTATTACAGGTACACTCTCAGTTTATCCTAAACAAAACATTTTCCATGATAACTTTTCTTGTAATGACTTGAAACTGATACACGTGATGAAAGATGTCAGTGGGTGTTGAACGCATTTTGAAAACAAAACGTACGCACATCCCCTCCGGGGATGGGTTTCAAATCTTCAAAGTTGCACCTAATGTCCATTGACTCCGAAAGATACTATGAATGAATTCTGAGGGATCTGTAGGCCTTGGAATTGTGTGCAAAAAGTTGAGGGTGCTCTCTCCGGGGGGGGGGGGGGGGAGCTATAACCTCGATCATTCTCAAAGGGGTTTCTGACAAAAATAAGTTAAAGAAGCACGCCATAATGGCTATATTTGAAGTCTGGTAAATCACTTTTTCCAAGCTTACATAGTAATGATAATTTACTTCCAGAGAGGAAAAGTAATCGCCAGTGCCACACAGTTCTTGTGTGGGAAAACAAACTCAGACTCAAGTGTCAATCTAAAATCCCATGCCTTTTTCAGCCATATCGTATTGCTTAATTTTGATTGCTTATTTTGGTGGGATTGTCCTCCGGTGGGCGCTACATTACATTAAAATTATGTCTTTTTGCATCTGTTTAATCATCTTTATGTTCTTGCTAGTATTTAGCACACTGGCTGGCATTTAACAAAGTGTAATAAATATTTGGGCGCTACATTACATTAAAATTATGTCTTTTTGCATCTGTTTAATCTTTATGTTCTTGCTAGTATTTAGCACACTGGCTGGCATTTAACAAAGTGTAATAAATATTTGTTGAACTGAACATCACCTGCCTTAGCTGCATCTCTTCATTATTTAGTTTACTTAGAATGTAATTTTGATGAATAATTTAGTATGACCTGTTCTAGTTCTGCTATACTTTTTAGGTTATTGAGGTTCTTGAATTTCAGATTCAGTACTCCGCTACTGTTTGCAAATGTCGAAAAAAGTACTTAAAATTCGAAGTTCTAAAGACTCTTTAAACTCATAAATGAAAAATTAGTGGTTTTGACAGGTTTGTATCAGTGTTACATGTAATTTTTTTAAAGATTCTTTTCACGTATTTAAGACTTAAGGCTGGCGGGTCAGCTCAGTTGGTTACAGCGGAGCCTTCCAACACTAATGTCAGGGGTTCTGATCCCCATACAGGTTATCTGCAAGAAAAAGTCAAGTTCCCAGAAACAGCACTAGTTGCACAGGTTATATGTTAAAAATAAGTATTTGACCTTGGGCTCTAACCTGTCAGAAATTTTTACTTCTTGTTTTTCTAGAAATTTACTAATAAGTAACATCTGCATTTTATGTGTTGGGGTGTCTGTGAAAAGTAGTTAATTTGAAACCCTCCAAAAATGGTAAAATAAGTAGCCAGGCTAGATAAGATATTTTGTTAGAATATAAAATATTAAATTGAATAACTCTGTCATCAGAAGGGAGAAATTAAAGAAAGGGCAGTCATTTTCCTGTAATTGTTTTAATAAGTATGAAAATAACAACGTGGGAAGAAAATGTTATGGACAGGCAGTTAAGAGAATATTCAAGAATATATCTTAATCTGATTTTCAAGTATGCTAACATTTTAGCAAAGAAACTAGGCCAAAATGGGATTAGGGCAACTGTTTATATCTTTGAAGCCAGAAATAGATTTATAATTACTTTATTAATCATTACATTTGCTAAGGCTGATGGAAACATATTGTCCAATTTTTTTTGCTTTGCATCGTACTGGACCAGACTATTAAAAGAAAAAAAGTCATAAGTAGTGGAACATTTAATATTATATGCATTATATGAAAATAATCATAATGTAAAGAGACTGTTTTATGGCCCTCTTTATGTTACTTTACACAAATAAATACTAAATATATTTGTATTTAAGCCTTAAATATTCACTGGGAATTTTCCTAGAGCTTCAGGGCCATTGAATTTATTAACTTTTATAGTAAAATCAGTCATTACAAAGAGAAGGCACATGTATGCAAATCTTCTGTATTTTAATCATAACCATTTCCATTATAAATATTTTCCTTGGGTTAACTAAAAGTTAAAATTTTTAGTGTATTTTGTGCAATGAGGCCAAGATGAATGTCTTTTCCAGAGGGATGAATCTTAGAAATGCTTTTGATGAGGGTTGGTTCTATAATAGTGTTATTTTGGATCTTCAAATAATAGCTAATTACTCAAAATATAAACTTTTCTGTTCCAAAGGTTCACTTTTGTTTAGTAGGTGTTTGCAATTTTAAATACTATTTAATAGAAGAGAACTTGAAACTTGTCTCTTTCTGGTTGTTTCCTCCTATTTAGGACAAATAATGAGCTATTTTTTTAGTAATTATAAAATTTGTTTATATAAAATACAGAGGAAAATAATTTTATCTTGTACAACAGTGTACTGATTTTATGAATTAATTGGTTAGTATAGTTATTTTCTCCACACCCTAACTATACCTATGTTCACTTGACATGAATAGAAAAAATTACCTTGTGTTTACAATTCATGTGAAAGAATGATTTTTGCATTTTCTAATAGTAGTTTGGAAATCTTTCCATGTCAGCATTTTGAAATCTATCTCATTCGTATAAATAACTATATACTAATGTCACACTGGAGTATCTCAGTGCTTAAAAACTGCATACACTTCTTTTAAATAAACTATTGTAATTGGTCTTACCTGGCCAAGAACTAAATAGCAACCTACTCACATAAAATTTGTTTTTTTTTTTTTTTTCCTTTTTGTCTTTTTTCGTGTCCGGCAACGGATCGCAACCCTCAGTGTTGCGCCTGTACCGGACCGGGACCAGCAACGGGATCGCAACCCTCGGTGTTGCACCCACACCTCGCTCAGCCAGTGAGCGGGAACCAGTCTGTATGTGGGATCCGAACCTCGGCGGGAGCGTGCCGCCTCACTCCAAAGCGGTGCACTGTAGCAGTGCGTCACTGGGCTGGCCCTAGTCACATAAAATTTGAATAGATCCTGTCATGTGTATTTCTTAGCTGACTCATTAGGAGTGTTCTAAAACTGAATTAAATTTTATAGCTGGGATTGCATTTATAGCCCTAAAGGTGATGTTACTCTTATGAAATATTAAGAGTAAAGGAAAGAAAAATCGCATTTGTAAGTAGTATTATCCGGGAGAAAAAAAACATACATCAGATTTAATAGACCGAGAAAAAGTACCAAGACTTTTTTTTAGGTTCTTTTTTATATATGTATTTATGTATGTATACATATATATGTATATATGTATGTAAACTTAGTATTATACAGAGCAATAAAAAATTCTTCCAAGGCAGCACATAAGAATAACATTAAAATAAACATTTTAAAAAGTGTAATCAGGAGCTGTGTGAGAATGTTTGTGAGCTGTTTTTAGATACAAGTGTGTCAAGTGTGACCTGTAAGGCAGAATATTTTTTCCCTTTTTATTTTAGGAAAGGTTATTTGTCAATGAAGAAAATGTTAATGAGATTCTTGAAGAGGTCCTGAGCTCTCCATTCAAACAAACAATTCCTCTAAACCAACCATTAATAGAAGTTCTTCAGGTTACTGATAATAAGATTCAAATTCTTGCAAAGGTAAGGATTTTGGTGGGTTAGGGTATAGAAGAGTGACTAAGGACAAGTTCAAAGCCTAACAAATGACTTAAATTCTTGATTTCTTTATGTCATAACTTTAAACAAAATGTACATAATGGCTGGGCAGTGATGTTAAGAAAAAGGCTTTGTGTGTACTGTGTGCTAAACACTGCTATTCATTTTCATGTTACCTCACTTAATTCCAAAATAACACTCTACTGAGGAACAAAGAGAAACTAACATTCAGGAAGTTTGAATACTAGTCCAGGGACAAACACAAGTCTTTTTTGACTCTCACACCACAGGAACTATGTCCTACAATTTATTCATTCTTTCTAGTTGAATCTGTAGTTTAGTCATTGCTATAGTCTTCAATACTAGACACAAAAATAATTTAGTAACCAGCACAATTGACTGACACATGATTTGGAGGAAGGATGGCTTTGAACAATCACAGAAATTCAAGAAAATTCAAGAAATTCAACAATGCTCTTATAGCTGTTAAAAAGTTTTGTAGGCCATGTTGAAAATCTTGGATTATTCTATTATGAAGGAGATGAATCATTGAAAGGATTTAATCAGAAAATTAATGCCAGGTTTGCATTATTAAAAATGACTGGCAACAGTTGGTTAGAGTGTGGTGATGATAACACCAAGGTCCAAGGTTCAATCCATGTACCAGCCAGCAGCCAAAACCCAACCAAAACAAAAAAATGACTGACAGCATTTAGAGGATGACTTTGAGGGGGAAGCCAGGAAGCATATCTGCAGGTCTGCAAGCGTTACTACCTCACAACTTTAAAAAAAATTTTTATTTCCAGGGGGTACTACAATCTAATTTTTCATTGTTTCAAAGAATTATTAATGTGTTTTTTTCTTGACACAGTTGCAAGAATGTAGTAACTCTGATCAGCTTAAAGGAAAGGAAGAAAGAGTCAATGAAGGAAGTCACCTAACTGAAAAAGAAAATATAGAACATCTTAGCACCTCTACAACTGATTCTGATTCATCTACAGCAGTTAAGTCACTAGAAATAGATAGCTGTGGTTCAGTTGTGTGTGTTCAACAAGAGTCTTTTGATGTTTCTCAAATGCTATTTGGAAAATGTCAACAAACTGAATCAAAAATGGAACCTGAATTTATAAAGGAAGAAAGTGCTTTGTACTCAAATGAGGGAAAAGATGTTATAACTGAAGAGAAGGAAATAGCTGGTGATCACCTGTCTTCATTACTGAACAAAACTACAGTTCACAGTATACATGATTTTGACAGCATAAAAGAAACCAATATGCAGGATGGTAGTGTGGAGATTACTAAAGGTCATGTGACTCATTGTGCATTCAGTTTTCAGAATTCTTTGCTATATGATTTGGATTAATTCTATATAATTTTGGAATTTAAGTGTTAAGAGTAAAAAATTGGGGGACCTAAAATAGGTTCTGTTAACCATTACCTTAAAACTAAAGGTATTCAACAAAGTATAAAATTAAAGTTTGCTATTTTGATTCTAATGGGGAAACTGAAGATACTTATTTTTTTTGCTTCTAGAGTTAAAGCAAAGTTTCCATAATTATGGAGCTAAGTTTTGTGATTCCTCTGATAGATGTGTATTTTTTCTAAAGGAGGGCTAAACATTTAGTTTTAATATAACCTGTATATACTTACTTCTGTGTTGATTTTTGCTTCCTTTGTTTACCATTACTTTAACAGTTTCAAAATAAATATTCACTAAGTTGTATTTGTCACACAAAGTAATTCTCAAGAATGCAATTAACTAGAAATATAAGTATGTGTGTTGTGGGGGGCAGAATCTCAAAACGATTTGTTTAAAGTCTCATTAGGATGTATTTATGCTTGAAATAGAGCTTCTTAGAGGGAAAAGAACTTTACTAACCAATATTAAAGATCTAAACAATTACAATACAAATACACCAAATGAAATTTATTATTATTGTATCAACTGTATTTTACTCTTCTGTCACACAAACTATATATATATAGTAGAGGTTAAATTATTTAATAATGATTTTGAAAATTCAGTTTTTTAAAAGACTTTCTTGGAAGTTACTATTGAAGTATTAAAACTTTCAATATACATTTCTATAGAATACATTTAAGAATTTTAAACAGAAATTATTAAAATTTGGCAATTTGTTCTTCTAGGAAAAGTGTCTTCATTATATTATTATATAAAAACAAAACAAAAGCCAGTGTTTCCTAATCAATTACTAACACCTAAAATGTGAGACAAGGAGAAAATCCTAACAGGTTTTTTCTTACAAAAATTTTTAGGACAGCATGAAAAAAAATGTATTAAGGAGTATATTTGTTGATTTAATCACTAACCCCAAGTTCATGAGGTGATCCATTTCTGTTCCAAAAACAGCTACTAATTCAGACTCTGACTTTTTTAGCTCAGTCCTTGAAATCACCTAATTTCTTTAGTTCTTTGAACTGGTGGTGTCAGGTCAAAGTACAAAAAACCTGTAGTCAGCCTGGTGATTCATCCTGATTTACGTTTATAACCACCAGAGAAAGTCTAGCACAAGATTGGGCTCTGAGGGTAGTAGACAGGTAGCTCATAAAACAAGAGAACTATTTGCCTTATCTTAGATGAGCACATGTATTTTTCAACCACTATGAATCTTAAGTTGATGCAATAATTTTGAAACTGTCCATTTAATAGTTATCTTAGGTTGAAATGACTAATTGTAATTCCTTTACACAGAAATTGGTCTTTTATGGGTAATTTTTGGTTAATTGAATTATGTATTAAGGGAAACTTCTATAAACTTCTACATTAAATGTGGAGTAAATTTTAAGCCTGTTTCCTCTTATTTATTGTATCTGTTCTTTTAAAAAGTATGATTTCAGTTAAAGCTGGCATTAGGACATGTTTCACTTTGGCAGGACAGAACGTTGTATCATTTCTGGCTTTCATGAACAATTTAGGCTGTATTTCCCTTACACAGCAGCTTTTTATTGTTAATTATCTATGCCTGGCTAATTTGAAAGCCCAACAGTTTCTTCCAAAGGGAATGCATTGTTAGAGCTGAGTTTTATTTCAAACTCAATTATACAAGGTATAGATAGTAAACGTTAAGATGTAATGCCATCTTTCAAAACTTCAAGAATGTCTCCACTGAATTTTAGTGTAAACAAAACTTATTCTGCAAAATGATCAGGAAATTTTTTATGCAAAGATGAGTATTTTATTTTGGCAGAGCTAAAAGAAAAAAAAAAAAAAAACCCACCATATTCCTACGGTGAGGTGAAAACAATGTTCTTCCTTATCAATTGGATACATTCCAAAAGAAAGTGTGTTGTATGAAGGTTCCAAAGCACAGGCAAATCAACACAATAGTATAGAAATCCGTAATACTGAAAGTGGTTTCTGACAGGGTGTTTAACAAACATAACTTCTTAATTATTAAACCAGTGAAGCTGTCCTTTCCTGAAAACTGTGTTAAGACTGAAATTAGGCTATTCCATTAACACTCTAACCATTTTACTGTAATACTTTTTACTGCTATGAATTTTAAATAAATTTTGCTGTACTTAAAATAAGTTTTGAAAGTGGAAAAGTTTACAAAGTTTCAGATAAAAAGATCAATAGATGAATTTAAACAAAATTTCCCCTTCTCTCTTATCAATTAACAGTAATCATTACCTTTAGCTTTAAAACCCAACTCCCAAAATGAAAACTTCAGTTTTAAATCTTAATCAGACATATCTGAAAAAGATTACTATGTATTTGGACAGCTTTTACAAGAATTTTTTTTTTTAATTAAAGCAGAAACCAGTTCCTAAACTCTTTTATTCAACTGTATATCCTGTTTGGACAAATATCAAAAATAGAAGACTGTCACTTTTGCTTTTATAATTGTGATTTTTCACTGCAGTCTTCTATAACTTTTACAGAGTTCATGGTCCCTAATATCTCCCCACCCTCCATTTTTCCTAGGTGGGGTAATGGCTACCATGGTAAACTTCTCACCGATACTTAGAGTTTCTGGAAACATGTACTGCTTGTTATTATTTAGAAGTGACTCAATTTGGGCACTCTGGGTGGATGGCCTACAGGTTTTCTTGTGATGCATACCACAGTCACCAGCATGAAAAATCCTAGGAACTTGAGGAACCAGCACTTTCCAGAATTTTGGAAGACAAGATACAGTCAAATACTGAAGAGTCCAGTCCCAGTTATAATCATCATAAGTACAGAAAGTGTCTGTGCACTCGATCAGCTTCTGATAGATATCCCGGGTCAAGGCTAGACCCATATTGTGCTCTGTGGATTTCCAAGTTTTCACATCTACCTTGTCAGCAATGCCATAGAAACTGCGACCCGCAGTATAGGTCCCCAGAGAGATAACATCACACTCAGGACATTCTTGCTGCTTAAATTTCCACATCTTTTTGAAGACATGGTAAAAGTCTGGGGCTAAGTAGTGATCCTCTTCTAGGAAAAGTATAAGGCCAGAATAATCTCGAAGAACTTTGACCCTTTCCCATACAAAATGCAATTTCCACCACCAATGATGTTTGGTTTGGGAGAACTTGGCCTCTCTATAATGGCCGAAAGAGTCGGGATACTCAGCATTAATGCACCCCAATTTCAAAGCCGCATTCTTCTGCAGGTCTCTGGGGCAATCTCTGGGGTCACTACCCGGAAACTCGTTGGGGTACAACTGAATGCTGAAAGGAAAGAACACCTGCAAAACCGGACAAAAATCAACTTCAGCGATGAGCTGATTGATCTCTGTCGACCAGAAGTCGTGGCTAAAGATGACAAGGACGTTGTCAATGCCCTGGGCTTTTCGAAGTGAATCCAGTAGCAGTCTGAGGTATTCGGGCCGGTTATGCACCTGGACCACCAACACCAGCTCCCGGGGGGCCCAGGTGCCAGCCTTATCTACATTCCTCAGCGTCTGATCAAAGTTCAGCTGGTACACCAGGGACCGGTACCGCAGCGTCAGGTTGTCCACCTCGGGCTGGGGGGCCGCCGACTCGTTGGAGACCCTGCGGATGCCCACAGACACAGAGGGATGGTCCACGCCCCGGCCGCCCGCACCTCGCGCGGTCTCGGCGTCCAGTAGCGGCGGGGCGAGGGCCTCGTTCTTCCTTTGTCGCCCATTGCTGCTCCAGAGGACGAAGCCGCAGGCAGCCACCACGAGCATTAGGATTAGCACCTTCCGTTTGTAGATGCGGAACCTCATGGTCTCCAGGGCCGGGAGCGCGGGCGGGCGCGGAAAGGAGCTAGCTGCTTAGGCACGGAAAGGGCGGGAGGACCGTAGCCGTCGCCTGGGCCTGTAGCGGTCGGAACGGGCTCCGTGGCTGCCCTCGCTAACTCATCCCGGGCCCCGGGGGTCCTGGGGCCCGAAGGCTCTCAGCTGCCCCGCGCCGTCCGGGCTCCACACATCCTCGCCTGGCGCTGCAGCTCGGGCAGCGGCCCCGCCGCTAGGAGCCGCGGCTCGGCGTCGCCTCGGTCCTCTCCATTCAGCCCCACGGGTCCCGGAAGAAGTCCAGCCGCGGCCCCACCGCACCCCAGCTTCGTTACCTGCTCCTCCAGCGGCCCTGCGTCCTCTGCATTCTCATCCTCACGCGGGCCCCGGACAGCCAAGACCGAGCGACGCAGCCTCGCCCACTCCGGCGGCTACCGTTCTGACAAGCCGCGACTGGCCCGCGAACGCCGCGGCCCTCAGGCCCACACCCCTCCAATCCGCCCCTTCGGCCGTTGGTTGGCGCTTCCCAGACGCGTCAGGAGGCGACTGGCCGTCGTGGCCAGCTGTCTATTGGTTCGCAGTACTGTCGCTCAGGTTCAGTTCCTACTTCCGCCTCATCCCTCCTTTTCCTGTTCGGCGCGAGCGGAGCGAGGCAGCAAGTGCGGGCGCTAAGTTTCTTGGTAAGCTAAGAGCCAGACCCTGGCGGTTCCAAGGGAAGCCTCAGTCATTCAGAATCTGGGGTTGGGTTAGGTAGGCCCTTGCGGGAAGGGAGGGCGAGATCCACTGCCTCGGCTAGGCTGAGTTCAAGAACTGGCTTCTCCCTTCAGGAAACGGGCTCACACATGGCGGCTACTGGGCCGCGAGGTACGCCGGCTCGATAAGGACACGTCAGCTCTCAGGACTGCTGATGAGTGACCGTGCTTCGGAGGGGAAAAGTGAAACCACACTGATGTGGTTCTCGCGGAAGGAACGGGGCGGGTCGTAGAAGTAGCTACTACATCGCGCACTGCACCACCCATACCCGAGTTAGAAAATGGTGGAAGTGGATGTGGGGAAGGGAGTCGAAAAGAAACTCTAGTATTTACCTTCTTTTTCTGCAGAAGAAAATTAAACACCATTACGTTTTTCTTTTGGGGCAGCCACAATAAATTAAGCCTTAAGGTAACCCGTTTGTCCCGAGAACTGACTGTACTGAGCCTAGCATTGCTGTTGCTATATTTAGTGAGTCTCGTTCTATAATGCTCCAGTAATGTAAGTATTCCAAAAGGGTGTGCACTTCTGTGTGCATGTATTCATAATAAAATGCGTTCTTGGTGGACTCATACATTACGGATTTATGTAATGCTGTGTTCCTATAAATACTCGAATAGCACTTTCACGTTTCGAAGTGTTTAATATGTTGCTGTATTTTAAATATTTTACTACAGTTTTCATCGTGTAGACAGCTCTACTGCAAAGATGGTCAATGTACCTAAGACCCGAAGAACTTTCTGTAAGAAGTGTGGCAAGCATCAGCCTCACAAAGTGACCCAGTATAAGAAGGGCAAGGATTCCCTGTATGCCCAGGGGAAGAGGCGCTACGACCGGAAGCAAAGTGGCTATGGTGGGCAGACAAAGCCAATTTTCCGGAAGAAAGCTAAAACCACGAAGAAGATTGTGCTAAGGCTCGAATGTGTTGAACCTAACTGCAGGTCCAAGAGGATGCTGGCCATTAAGAGATGTAAGCACTTTGAACTGGGAGGAGATAAGAAGAGAAAGGGCCAAGTGATCCAGTTCTAAACATTGGGATTTTTCTGTTCTGTTAATCTTGAGGGGAAATGTTGAAGCTGTAGGGAAATTGCCTGTAGGAAAATAAAGTGATATTCTCAGATCTTTTGTGTTTTGACTTATAAATAGAATTGCATGTTTAATGTGTTTCTGAGTTAAGGAAATAACAGTAAATTCTTCTAAAGTGAATAAGGTTTATCCTCTTTTCAAATCCTTGCTATTTAAATTCAGTTCCCCAGAGCTGGAATTTTGTGGTTTTTGGCTTTTTGGCGGCTGGCCAGTTCAGGGATCGATCCTGTGACCTTGGTGTTACAAAGCTGTGCTCCAACCGAGCTAACTGACCAATCCCTTGAATTTTGTATTTATAAAGACCCTTAGCACTGTCTCCAAACTTGACAACCAGGTTGTGGAGATAAAATAGGGGGAAATTGGTACTTTTTTGCTTTTTGCTCAATTTCAAATATATATGTTGGGTAAATTCATAATCATGATTGAATAGCTGGGAAGGGTCTCAATCAGATTTTGGAAAAAAAAATAAGCTAGGCCTCTGTATAGCAGACTGGGTGGAGCAAAGGATCCAATTTGGGGGATAAAAGCTGACTTTTTGCAAATGTGCTGGCCAGTATTTCAACTAAAAATGCAGTTCCTCAGTTATACTAGCCACATTCAGTACTCAATAGCCACATGTAGCTAGTGGCTAGTTTATTGGACAACACAGATATAAAATTTCCAGCACAGAAAGTTCTTTTGGGCAGCACTGTTTTAGATCACAGTCTTGAAGATAAAGCAGAAACTCAAAACTGACCTTCAGCTACAAAAAGTTCTGAAGCTAGTGAAAGTGAAAAAAAATCATGATAGCATAAGCTCTGTTTTTTGAATCTCTTAGAAGATACTTTACGAGGTAATCAAATGTTAAAACTTCTTTACAGTTGGAAAGGTTGAGGAGGTTACACTTATGACAAAACAATGGTAAGTTGAAAGAATAAAAAGAACTGAACTTAGTAATTACCTATTAAAGGCAAGAAAGAACAAGTTGAATATTAAGTGAAAAAAACGGAAAGGGTATTGGTTATAAGAAGAGGACAAATTTCTGTTTTGTATATGGACTTTAAGTTGACAAAGATATGTCTGACTAAATGAGTAGTAAGAAGACTGCAAAGGCAAAGGGCTAGGGTGTAGGAGTAAATGATGGTTAGCATTTACTTCCAATATACACTACTATAGCTGCATTTGTTGATAGTTTTTCTAAAATGATGTAAAAATCAGATGTGCACAAGTCAATTTTTAAATACACCACATAACTTTTTAAAGAATCATTTTTTTTTTTTTTTTAAAAAGATGACCGGTAAGGGGATCTTAACCCTTGACTTGGTGTTGTCAGCACCACGCTCAACCAGTGAGCGAACCGGCCATCCCTATATGGGATCCGAACCCGGGGCCTTGGTGTCATCAGCACCACTCTCTCGCGAGTGAGCCACGGGCCAGCCCTAAGGAATCATTTTTTAATGCAGCTGTTTTGTAACATTACTGGACAATCCCCCACCAATTTAGGAGTTGAGAAAATTCCAAGATACCTTACTTAATTACAGAATTCTCAGTTTTAAAAAACAAAAGTGAATTAACATTAGAAGGCAGTATATAGCCTGGGCTTAAAATCTCTGATCTAGGCTCATGGTTACCTCCTTCCTAGAGTGTTCTGTGAGGATCGAAGAAAATACATATAAAACACCTGTAACAAAATAAGGACCAGGTAAAGGGCAGCTCTTTATTTAAGGCATATTTGCATTATACTGTGTACATATAATTTTTTGCTGAAAGAATTTAACTGGCCATTAGCAATACAAACTTAAGTTCGACTAAATTATTCCTCTGGACCAATGCCTAGTCTTATTTGAAAATCATATGACTAAAGTTTTAATAAAAATGTTCTGACATTTTTACAAAATAACTACCTCTTTCGTCTTCCTAAAATGTTTATTTTGGACATTTTTCTTTTTTGAAAATTCAAATATTCATGAGTAAATACTGTTTTAAGACCCTTCCTCCAAACCCAAAACAGCAATATGCTAAAACCGGAGAAAGGTTTCTCCAGTAACTTTTCCTCTTTCCTCTCCCTTGCTCCTCAAAACCAGTTAAGAGGCTATTGCAATGGTCTTGTGGAGAGGCAGATTTGAAGTAGGGCAGTGGGAATGAACAGATTGGAACAATTTGTACTGATTCTATTTTCCACAATTCTTTCAAGCTGGTTCCTTTTCCAATCCCTCTGCCTTAGTTCAAATCATCATTCTTTAACTGGTGTATTGCCACCGCTCTTTAAAGAAAAAACTTAAACATATTTAGTGACAAAAATAAACAGCAAAAAAAACCCCAAAATCCAAAACACCAAACCCTTAAATACTACAGAATACAATCAGTAAAAAGCAATTTTCTGCTCCCTCTCCCATCCATCCCTCAAACTAAAAAACTTAGAAATCACAACAAAGATTATGTGATAAACATCTTTGAACTTAAAAAAGCCGAAGTCTGTTTGTCCCTAAGCAATTCCTACTTTATGCTTTGTGAACATAAATTCCATATATAGAATATACCTGAAAAACATGAAAAGTGGTATACTTAAAAACTTATTTCATATTAAACAAGCTTTCACAATAATTTAGAACATATTAGTCCTCCAATGTATATTTTCTGCATACAGAAACTCAATTTCTTTAATTGAAATGCAAGAAGAAATTTGATCAAGAAAATTCTTATGATCATAGTGATTGGGATCAATATTTGTTTAACATTAAATGATAACCCCACAACCCATCCTGGAAACTTTAGGCTGAAATCAACACAAGTTCAACAAACTGATAAAAAGTCAACCCCCAAATAAAATTACAATTTTTTTTTTTTTTTTTTTTTAAAAAAACCGTTAAGGGGATCTTAACCCTTGACTTGGTGTTATCAGCACCACACTCTCCTGAGTGAGCCATGGGCCGGCCCAAATTAAATTTGATTTTAATAAAATTAAAGTTTTAGAGTCAAATGACTTAAAATGTTAGCATTCCATGCATTCCTCCTCTCCAGCAAGTATACAAAAATCCTCAGTTGGTTACAACATGGTACTGATAACACCAAGGTCCAGGGCTCAATCTCTGTTACTGGCCAGTTGCCAAAAAAAGTATACAAAAAGCTTCTTTTTCTCCAATTTGATACTGCTAAGCCATAAATTAATCCCAAACTAATCTGTAACTAAATGAAAATTTTTTTCTGTTATCACTTATTACTTCAACATATCAGTAGAATTTACATAACAGGCTACAGAACAGAAGTAAGAGATAATAGGTGCTTCAGTACCACCCATATTATCTACTAAGACCACAGTGTGAGCAACAGAGTGTAGATTCATGGTGGTAGTTCCTTGAATGAAACTGTTTAGACAGAATCTTCCACAAACACAGGTTTTTGCAGAATCCAAATCTTGGCAAAGATGGAAAGGAATGATACGGGAGCTATATGGAATCCTATTAGGAAAAAAAAGTTAAAAAATATTTTAGAATATGTTACTAGATTCAGAACTTCATATATTAAGACATGAATTATCAGAACACTAAATTATAGCAATGGAAAAATAAAATTATTACTTAAGTGACTTAATATATTGTTTTATCTTCCCAACTGGTAAGAATAGGAAAAAAATACTAAAAACCAGTATATAACATATTGTGAACTTAACAGTGCGTACACCACTCCATAAAATATCTTTCAGCACAGCCACTTAATAGCATAGCCCACTGGAAACCATAGTCCACTAAATAGAATGAAAAAGTCATCTATCCTTTATATATACTCTCCTGCACATCAAATGTTCAAAAAGGAATTTTAAACTGGGTGAAACAAATTTAAAACACATTCTATTTAGAACATTAGTTTTACCTGATGGGCAAAGCAAGTAAGGCTAATCTCACCTTGCTTAAAACTCGTTTCACCCTCCTACTTAAAACCCTTCAGTGGTGCCCAATGCAGTTAAAATCAAGTCAAACTCTATGCCATCGTCTTGAGATTGCCTGCTCATTGCCCAGCTCCTCCCCACTAAACACAACCATGCTCTGTCACTTTGTCTGTCTTATTCTTTGTTGTTTCTTTAGCACATAATAGGTACAAAGATATTTTCCAACAAATACATAAACCTCATCTCATTACTTAAACTAGAGTTTAAAATTCTATCAGAAAAGTATGAAAAGATACACATCAAATGAAAAATAGTGGTTACCTTTGGTCGGGGATCTAGGATTGGTCTTATTTGTAATTTTTCATTTTTCATAAAAAATATATTAATTTGTTGCTTGTGTAAATAAGAATTTTTTAAAAACTGCCAGGAAATGTCTACTATATGTTTACATTAATCACTTTCAGGCTAGTTGGTTATAGTCTGAGGAAACAGACAAGTTAAAAACTACACCTTCTATCTAAAATTCCCACATATTTTCCTAATAGACCATAAGTTTATGTCTGTAACCAGAAGTCAGAGCAATTTATCAGTAGCTAGATAATAGGTATTGCTCTCATGACTTTGGATCTATATTCTTTATAAAACAAGGGGGCTGAACACATGCAAAATTATTTCAGTAAAGGTTAGGATCACCCTACAAGAACCTATATTAATAGAAGTCGAGTTTAAAAGACTATATAAATACTATGCTAAATCATTCAGCACTAACACATTATTTTTCTGCTGAATTGTGCCTTGCTTATTATATCACATTTTGATCTACTTTTTCAACTCTGCATTTTTCCATGTTGAACTTCAGTCTGTTTTTACCTGATCATTTAGCCAATTTGTTATAGTCTTTTCAAATCCTCAAAAACTGCTTATAATATTTTTCATTTGGACATAATTTCCAAATTGAATAAATACATTATTTCTTTTATGTATGTCTCAGAGGAACAAGAGCTTCAGAAGCAACTCATTGCCAAAAGACATCATCTGAGGTTCCCTGAAATCTGTAATCTTATCCTGAATCACTAGTATCACCTCTGGAGGCTTTTTAAAATGTGTAACGTATAATAGGAGCCCTGGAAATTATGAACTAGTTGGTCTGAGGAGGAATCTACATAACTATACTTCTCATTTATATTATTTAAAAGCTTCTCTATAGCTAATGATAACAATATTGGTTGAATCATTTTTAATTGTCAGATAAGCAAATTACATGTATTTATATATCCAATAAATATTTATTGAGACCTTTTATGAACCAGGTACTCTTCTAGGCAATAATATGTACTGTCATTTAACAGGCAATTCTTAACTCCTAGTTAAGTGTCAATGCCTTAAACCAGTTGTTCTCAAAGTGCGGTCCCTGACCAGCAGCATCAGCATTACCTGGGAACTTGTTAGAAATGCAATTTCTTCAGCCCCACCCCAAACTTACAATCTCTGAGGGTGAGGACCAGCAATGTTTTAAAATAAGCACTGTGTTTCAACAAGCATGATTCTGAAGCAATCTCAAATTTTGAGAAGCACTGCCTGAAAGTAATAGTGAGTCCTTAATTACTTTTAGGAGCCATCACAGTGTGGTCCATGGAGTAGCAGCTTCAGCCTTACCTGGCAGCTTTAGAAATGCAGGATCTTCACCCCAGACCACTGAAATAGAATCTGCTAAAAAGACTCCCAGATCTGAATGCACATTAAAGTTCGACAAGCACAATGTAGAGCAGAGGTTCTTAATTAAAATCACCTGGAAAGTTTAAAAAAACAAAAAACAAAACTGGGGCCTACACCCAGACATTCTGATTTAATTGGTCTGGGGTGGGGGGCTAGCCTGTGGAGAGTGTGGTGCTGATAACACCAAGGCCACGGGTTCGGATCCCATATAGGGATAACTAGCTAAAGTCATACAAAGGCTGAAGCCAGCAAACCCAAGCCTGACTCTAAAGATCACACCTCACCACTATGCCAGACTGGAGTTCTCAAATTTAGGTTGCATTAGAATCACCTGCAGGACTTATTAAAACACAGATAGCTGGACCCCACTCCCAATTTCCCATTCAGTAGGGCTGGGGTAGAGCTCAAGAACTTGCATCTCTAACAAATTACAAAGAGGTACTAATGCTGCAGGTCAGGAGACCACACTTTGAAAAACAATGCCATTCATTCATTCATTCATTCAACTATTTATTAAGTGTCAAATATATGCCAGGAACAGGAGATATGACATTTTAGACCCTAGGGAAACAGCAGAGAATAAACCAAAGTCCATGTTCTCATGGATCTTACACTATAGTGAGAAAAAGTGGCAGCAAACAAAACAAATGTTAAAAAAATATATAATGCCAGTTAATAAGTCCTATGACAAAAAAGAATCAAGCAATGTAAGGAAATAGGAAATAAAACTTTGGATAGGATGGACAGGAAAGATCTTTTAGGATAATACCTGGGCAGAGAACTGAATAAAGTGAGGGGGTGAGCAACGAGATTTCCTGGAGGAAGATCATTCTAAGAAGAGGTAAGGAACAGCAAGGCCATTGTAGCAAGGGATCGGACTGTGCACAGCATTAAAGGCTGCATTAGACTTCACTATTACCCTGAGTTTGAAAGGCATACTAGGATGCTATCAAAGTTACCATACTTTATGACTATTAAACTCTTACCTATTATTTAGTATGGTTTGTGCAGAACATTCCAGTAGAGTTAACGGCACTTGCAGCATTATAACTGGAAGGACTTTTGGTTTTTCAAAAGTATTTCCAAAAAGATCCACATACTCAAGGGATAAACTTTTAAACTCATTAGGCAAATACGGAAGCTTATTTCGAGCTGCTGACAAAAAACGAAGGTTTTTTAGTTGTCCTATCTTGAAAGGAAATTGAATCAATTCATTATCATCAAGTTTTAATTCTGTAAGTTCCTGGAGCTGGCAAAACTGCACAGGGAGTGCCTTGATTTTGTTTTTGCTGAGATCCAAACTCCTAAGTGACTTCTGAAGTGTAGATTGACACAAGGCTACACTAAATGACTCCAAGTGATTGTCATGCAGGTTAAGTTCCTGAAGGTGTATTAGGTCTCCAATCGTAGCTGGAAGCTTCTTTATATGATTGTGACTCAAGTCTAATTTCCTAAGGTTTTTTAAGCAAAGCATACGCATATCAACTCGGACAAGCCCACAATAAGAAGTCTGAAGATGTTCCAGAGAATATGGAAAGTTCTTGCTTAGAGGATAGTCCTTTTTGGATGTGATAACCATTTTAGTTTTAAAATTTTCAAATTCTGAAGTCTTCACTGGTGTGAGCATTGAAAGTGGTGTATCAACATCGCAGCCTCTATAAGCCAGTCTCACAGATGAAAGGAAACCTCTTAAACTGCTGGAATTGGCCTGAAAAAATAAGTTGTACAATTATATATTCCATTTTAGATAATGCATACATGCTTGTTCTTCCCATAATGAATTCTGTAGAGTTATACATAAAGTGATCATTTATTAAAATTGGCTGTAAAAAATAAATTTACTAATATTTTGACTAAAGTTCAACTTTAAACGTTTCTGGGAAAAAATTATGTCGAGAGACATTCTAAATAAAACTGTTCAAAGGGGGAAATCACAAAAGTACAAAATAAGACAGGAAAGCATTAAAGACTCCACTTAAGGTTTAAGGGCTGGCAGTTTAGCTCAGTAGGTTAGAGCATGGTGCTGATAACACCAAGATCAAGGGTTTGATGCCTGTACCAGCCAGCTGCCAAGGAAAAAAAACCACAAAAAACAACCAAAGCCATGGATTGGAATCCCTATACCAGCCAGTTGCCAAAAAACAAAAAAACAAAACAAAAAACACAAAACAAAGATTTGAGTTTAGGATGAAGTGACCCAAATTTCCAGTGCCTTCAAGATAGGCCATGTGTGCTGTGTACTGTAACATGTACAGGGTGCCAATCACAAAGATTAGGAGTTGTCAAAGCACAGCACTTTCAAAAGCAACAAAATGCTGGAAAACACGAAAGACAAGAGAGATTGCTCCCAGCAGGTGAGATAGAGAAATCACTGACAAAGTTTACAGGATCAGTGAACTTTCAGCAAGTCTGGGAAATCATGTGATCCTATTTTGTTGGAATGTGAGAGCTGCTTAGCAGAGTAAAAGACTGGAAATACAGTAAGAGGACATCTTGTAAATGAGCTCTGATGTCAAGGTAAGGAGGAGGGAATGATCAGGCTGTAAGAAATCACTGAAGAATTTTCAGCATGCAAATTATATGAAAAGAGCTAAATATTATTTTGGTGGCAGTGTACAATGAACAGGAATGGGGAAAGTCTGGAGATCTGTGTAAAGTAGGTACAGTAAAGGGTAGTGGCTTACAGACATGGGAGTCACCCACAACAACAGTTAAGCTATGGAAATGGAAGACAGGGATGGCAGAGAACAGGTAGAGGATTAAAATAAAGCCCTTATTTTGGGGATAGAAGAAAAGGTTGCTAGAGACAGGAGACAAAGAAGTAGCTGAAGGTAAACCAGAATAGTGAAGAAAAGAATTTTATTAAGAGGTGGTCATCAGTGTCAAATTCTAAAGTTCAAAAAGGATGAGAAATAATAGCAATGTTATTGGCAAATAGGAAGGAGATCACTGACCTTTGAAGCAGTGTTTGGAATAAAATCAGTAAAAATAAAGGTCAAAAGATAGTAATAAAGTGGAGGCAATGGATTCGGCATCGTCTTTCCAGAAATTTATATATTTTATTTAATTTTTAAAAATTTTGTAAAGTTTATTGGAGCCAAATGTGAGAACTGACCCGGGAAACACCATCAGAGAGGTCAGACATCAGTCAGAGAGGTCCTCCCTTATTTTATTTTTTAAATCAGTAAGACCTCAGCTTGTTTTTAGACAGAAAGAAGGATTTAATGGAAGTAGGCTAAAGATCAAGAAAAAAATGAAAAATCAAAAGAACAAACAGGAGGAAGGACAAAATGATTCCATTCAACCCAAATTCCTTAAGTAATTATTAAACTTTTAATGTTTCCAAAGCACTTTGTTTGGGGTTAAGGACAATGCAAGGTTGTACAAGGAAGGCATTGCTCCTACACTCTGGGAAGGGGAAAGATGAAAAGAAGAGATAGGACAAAGAAAATAGATTTTTAAAAATTCTAATACTTTTTGTATTTTAAAAAACAATTATAGGGCCGGCCCGGTGGCTCACTGCTACAGTGCACCACTTGGGAGCGCAGTGGCGCTCCCGCCGAGGGTTCGGATCCCAC